TAACATACAAAGACTAATAGACAAACAGAACAGAGATATACACACTCATAATAAGGATAGACAGCCTTTCAAAACTTATTCATATGGTGAAATAATTGATGTTAAAATAAACAGACGTTTAAGTACTAAACTAACACCTCGGTACAAAAAAGAAATAGTTAAAGAAGACAGACATAGTTATAATGGTATATCTATGGTTGACCTTACTCAATGTTAAGACTACCTTTGGTGACTGTTGCATTCATATATAGTAAAGTAAAGTAAATAAAGTAAAGTTTTATAAATATTGTAAAATGATAACGCGCATGTGTATCAATAACAAAGATTGTAACCTTTTTTATCTTAGACACACATGCGCCTAAGTATACAGTCCACTAGCTAATATACAGTCCACAACGTAGCGATAACAAATTTAACACTTAGTTTTATGATAAAATAATTGTATAAATACATGTACTAGAAATAAAATAAAGTTAGTAGTTTAAAATTACTGAAAGTGTGTGTACTTTAATTTGTTAAATGTACATTTTGGTCCTTCGAGCCGGATAAGTTAGAGAACCAATCGTTATGGTGGAGAGGTCCAAACTGGTTAAACGATGATAGAAGGACATGGCCAAAAGAACAAATGGCAGCTAAAATAATAAATATCAGTAAATTAAGAGAGGAAGACTTATTTAATCAGCTCATCGAGAAATATTCATCTTTTAGGAAATTAAGTAGAGTGGTAGTATATATTTTTCGTTTCATAGACAGACTGAGGAAGGCTAAGTCTCCAGAATATCTAACTGTAGAGGAGTTTAGAGGAGCAGATGCAGCTATTTTTAGAAGTCATCAGACAACACAATTTTTTACGGATATAAGCAGATTGAAAAATAGCTGTGAAATAGATCATCGAAGCAAAATGGCAAATTTGAATCCGTTTTTAGACAAAAACCAAGTTTTGAGAGTTGGAGGTCGATTAATCAATGCAAAAATTGGTTTTGATAAAAAGCATCCAATAATTATAGCAAAAGGTCATTTGGCGAATTTGATAATAAATGAAGCACACCGAGAAACAATACATGGTGGACATCGATTGATGGAAAATGTTATAAAAAGAAGATATTGGATATTTAGACTTAAAAACTTGATTAAGAAGTGTATACGTGAATGTGTAAGGTGCACACGTTATAAAGCATTAAAGCAGAAGCAGCTTATGGGTGATTTACCAGAATATAGAGTCAATGTGTCTGCTCCGTTCGCTCATTGTGGAGTAGATTACGCTGGACCATTGCTAATTAAATGTTCTAAAGGGCGAGGCCAAAAAACTTTTAAAGGGTACGTAGCGGTATTTGTATGTATGGCAACTAAAGCTTTGCACTTAGAGTTGGTAAGTGACATGACATCAGAATCATTTCTGGCGGCGCTGAAGCGATTGTTTGCACGCAGAGGCAAATGTTCACATATATACTCAGACAACGGTACCAACTTCGTTGGAGCATCCAAAAAATTAGATAAGGATTTACAACAGGCTATTAAAAGCAATGTGAGTGCAGTTTGTGCATTGGAAGCAGAAGGTATAAAATGGCATTTCATTTCACCGGCAGGGGCTCATTTTGGAGGTTTATGGGAGTCGGCCGTGAAGTCAATAAAGCACCACTTGAAAAGAGTTGTTGGCGAAAATAAACTTACTTATGAGGAGTTAAGCACACTTCTAACCCAAATTGAGGGCATACTTAATTCACGACCGCTTTGTGCAAATGTTGACGACAATGATATATTAACTCCAGGTCATTTTTTAATTGGGCATGCTATCATTAGATGATAGCATGATATTAGATGATATGACTATCCAGAAGCAGTAGATGATATGAACATATCTTCATTAAATCGTTGGAAGATAATTCAAGCAATGAAGAAACATTTTTGGAAACGATGGAAGGAAGAATATTTAACGAATCTTCAGCAGAGGTACAAATGGAAAAAGGTTCAAGCGAATGTTAAGGAAGGCCAAGTGGTAATAGTGAAGAATGAGGAAACATATCCAGGAAGATGGCCTCTTGGAAAGATAATTGAGGTTCATCCTGGAAAAGATAATCTGGTGAGAGTAGTATCGGTAAAAACTCAGAATGGCACAATAAAACGTCCGATTCAGAAATTATGTGTATTGGAAGGCGTACACGAACAAATACATGTTGCTGAGAATAAGAAGATAAATGTTATTAAACGAAAAGATTTGAAAAAAGAAAAATCTGTTAATTTAATGTTACTTTTATTGCTAATGATTTTAATTCCATCTAGAGTAGCGTCAGAAGCAATTAAAGGAGGAAAAGTGAATGAGATAGACAAAGACACGGTGGTTTATTTGGACGAAATTGGATCTATGAACGTGGTATCATCATCATGGAAGCTGTTAATATGTTTTGATTTGGAGCCCTTTTTCGAAATAATTGATAAAGGAGGTACAACTATATTGGAAATGAAGAAAATTTGTTCTAAACTGAAAACATTTGAAAACCATTGTGTGGCAATTATAGAAGACATGAGACAGCAAATAAAGCAGATGCAGGACACAAATAAATATTTGCTTCAATATAAAAATCAAAGAACGAGAAGAGCGCCATTTGAGTTCATCGGGTCACTGCAGCACATATTGTTTGGCACAATGGATTCAGAAAATAGAAAAATGTTCGAAAAAGACATGATGAGATTACTAGAAAATCAGCATGATATCAAGAATCTGATAAATAAGCAAACTTCGGTAGTAGATTCTACGGTGAATTTGTTAAAAAGAACCACCACGGAGATAAATAATAATTTTAAACAAATGCAAGATAGGCTCAACATCTTGTCGTCGGCAATGCAGGAATCATATTTGGTATATCGGGAGTCAATTAAGTTTTTCATGGTAACAAAAGAGTTGCAGGGAATAATTGAAGAAAACAGGAATGTTCAAACAGAAATAATAGAGCTTTTAATTGAAATAAATCATGGGAAATTGAATCCTTCGTTGATAACTCCTACTCAACTGTATGAAGAAGTTAGGAGCATCAAAGAACATCTTCCAAATAAATTAAGGCTGCCAGGGAATAGCGATAATCAGTTGCAAGTTATTTATAAGCTTTTATCGGCAATAGGAACAATAATGGATAAGAAACTAATCATAAAGGCAGAAATACCATTATTTGACACACAAGAATCAAAACTATACAAAGTAATTCCGATGCCTATGGAAAAGCATGGGATAATTTTGAGTCCAATGATACAAAGGCAGTTTCTTATATATAATTTCGAAATGGACTCATACCATTTGATGACGGAAACACAGCTCAACTTATGCAAACACGTCACAGAAGCGGAGTATGTTTGTGAAGGTAATTGGCCATGGCTAGATGCGAATGACTCGTCGTGTGAGATTTCACCATTGAAGCCTTTAAACGCTTATAAATGTACATACATTGAAGCGGAATCATCTCTATATTGGGTAAAACTAAATAATGCAAATAATTGGTTATTTAAAACATTTATACCAACATCAGCACATATCCAGTGTAATCAAAATCGGCAATTTATTTTAGAATTTCCACAACAGGGAAGAATATCATTGCAACCAGGATGTACAATAAGAATTGAAGGTGTTACAATAAAATCACCATTTATTATAAACTCTAATTCGAAAAAGGAAATAGCAGCCACATTGACAGCGAAGATAGGGAACACTACTAGAATTCGTATTCCACCATTAAATTCATTAATATCTAATCACACAAATGAACTGCAAGAGCTTCAGAGTCAAATCAAAGTCATAAAAGAAGAGAATATTAAATTACGTGAAATTAAATATCATCAAATAGCAAGTCATACATCTCTTTTCTTAGTAACAATTTTGATAATAGGTATAGTGATATATTTTGTAAAAAGGAAGCATACGGAACGCGCAATTGCTCGATTGGACATTTTTAACAAGGAGAATCTCTAATATGACCAGACCAATGAACGCTAAATAATCAAACGAAATTGGAATGTAGAATTAGGCCGCTGGCAGAATGTTCAAACATGAACACATTTTATAGTTTATTTTTAAGATTTATTATTATTTTAGAAGATAAGTTTTTACTCTGTATATGTAAGCAAAAATATTATCCGCTAAATACTGTTTGTAAAGGACTGTATTAATTATTTGAATATTCCAGAAAATTTCTATTGTTTACTTAAATGCTTTAAAGATAACATTTTATTGTTTTTCAATGTTTAATGATTATAGCACAAGCTGTGCACAAATGTAAAATGATAACGCGCATGTGTATCAATAACAAAGATTGTAACCTTTTTTATCTTAGACACACATGCGCCTAAGTATACAGTCCACTAGCTAATATACAGTCCACAACGTAGCGATAACAAATTTAACACTTAGTTTTATGATAAAATAATTGTATAAATACATGTACTAGAAATAAAATAAAGTTAGTAGTTTAAAATTACTGAAAGTGTGTGTACTTTAATTTGTTAAATGTACAAATATAGTAATATGTTTTAATCATCAAACAAGGGCCAAAGTAAATATCACCACATGGCGATCCTGTCAAACTGCATAATTGCAGTGTAAGAACCATTCAATAAATTAATAATTGTGTATAATAAAGTGAGACTAATAATCGAGAAATATAACTGTTATG